CCTTCATCTCTGGTTATGAAGAATAAAAATGGAAAATCAAATTGGTCCACAAACCTGAGCCAGATGTGGAATTGAGAAATATAGGTCTCCAAAGTTATCTTGCCAAGCCACCTAAAATAAAAATGTAATTAAAGCAGGCACAAGGTAAGACAGCACACCTCAGAGGGAAAAAATAGAAAATTAATATTACTCTAGGGAGAAATAAGTTCAAGGATTTAATCATAAAGTTCAGAAACATACGCAAAAAGTGTCAAGGAGTAATTCCGAAACTGCTGAGTGAAATTCCGCAGGCAAATGTAGACACTAGAATAAGAAGCAGAGATTGTAATCAGATACTGAAACTAGTTCATTATACAACAAGTTCAACAAATTCTGCATGTAACAGTCACCAACTTAAATTCCCAAAGTGCTCTTCCCATGAAAAAAAATGGTAAAGAGAGAAAAGTTTCCTTAGTACGCACGTTATGGGAATCCAGGATGTGTAGGGATGGTACTTGTTGTATGTAACCTTGTCCAACTTATAGATATTTTCATACCACAGATAACCAACCTAAAAGAAAGGGATTTAAAAAAAAAAAAAAAGGATCATCAAAAACTGAAAACCAGATAGTAGCACCATGATGATCATGAATTCAGGCAACTTACGAACAAGGAAACAGCAACAATGCTTGCTTTGATTGAGAGTTTTTTCTTGGTTTCACATTCCTCCAATTTCTCCATCCATTTCTCAACCTAAGATGAATAAATGACAAAACATTTCAAAGATTTTTGTTACTCATGCACTAAGTGAACAAGACCTTTAGTGCTCAGGTGAATTAAGTGGAACTTACATTGGGATGATAGTATGCATATATCATTCCAATGATCCATATATAGCGATCAAGACCAGATCTAAAATGCCACTCGTGAAGTCGAGGTAGATCAGGTTTTGCAGGATCAGTGTATCCTGGGGTTAAAAAGCAAAATAATAATAAGTGATAAAAACAAATAGTCATGATTAAGCCAAATCATGACCTAAATTACTGAGCTCTAGGTAGGCCAAACATAGACACAGCTAGGAAGTTACTGACCTAATAAGAATGAGAGTGGACTCCAGAACAAGTCAAAAACTCCAGGAATTTCCCAAATCAGGATAACCACAAGAAAGCATGCAAGAATTTTAATGGCCATCACTGATGGTATCTCATTATACTTGTGAAAAATGCCCAGGGCTCCATACACCATCAGAGTGAAAAGCGTGTGCATTGGGCATATGTAATAGAGCATATAGTCATTGTTTAGAACAATACAGCAAAAGGCTACAAAGAAATTTAGCCGCCACATCATCTGTGTCAAATGATAATTTCACAACAATTAAGATTCTCAACAAATACAGAACTAGTATCAGTCATGACCTGTTACTAAGAATTGAGAAATGAAGTCCAGGGATATTGTCACCTGAGCAAAGCGTGCAAGGCTAAAGTCCTTCCTGATGTAATAATACGAGAAGTTGCCAAATCCAGTCATCCAAACATATGCAGCTATAAAGAGACGTATTGCATTGTATATCTCAGAAGCAGCAAAGTAGTGGTACATTAGAAAGAGTACCTGTTCAATGATAACAACACATATAAAAACAGTCCTTAGAAATTTTTTATCTATCTATTATGCAGAAAAAAATAGGAGAGGATTAATCAAAAGCATGAAGCTGGATGATGAGCCTCTCAAAAATCCAGTAGAGATGAATTGGTGCTGTTAGCAAAGAGTTTGCAGATCTAAAGAACAAAGATTCAATCATGGAGCATATCATATGACAGTTTTACCAAAAATCAAGAATATACATACACACACACGCACATACATACATACATACATATTATATATATAGACACCTAACAGCCACCATTGTTCTAAGTCTTAAAAACTTTAATCAATCCACCAAAAAAGCTGTGACCGTATGGAAAAAGATATTTACAATTTTACAAAGTACATATACCACAACAAGCAAATGGGAAACTAAGCTTAAGGAATTACTAATTTACTGGATGTATTGTAAACCTATCAAGAATACTTGCCTGCATCCAACCTTTCCATTCTTCAGTCTGATGCCGACTAAGGTATTGCATTGTTTTTCCAGAGAATGCTGATTTGTCATTATGTTTCTTCAAAGAAGTTGTTGCTGTAACTATGATGAGAAGAGCATAGAGAAAGAGGAAAAGATCACGGCTGTATTTCTGTCCAAGGAAACCACAAAAAAGGAAAAATCTAATTAAGGGCAAACACAAAGCACATAGCTGCAGTCAATTAGCAAACATAAAGATGCTTTCTAAGTTCTAATTATTTATAGAAAGGGCCAAAGTAAAAAAAAAAAATCCACATCTAAATCAACCACTTGACTTGAAACTACTTCCAGGTAAAGCACAGTGTTTATTCTGTAATCTTCAACTATAAGCAACAGAAGACAGCAACTGAAAATTGCTACCTGGTAGTGTTGGGATTAACATTGAGCAGTGTTTCGAAAACTACCATGTCAGTTAAATAAACAAAGAAGAGACACAAAACTCACCTTAGTAGATTCTCCTAGTAAACTTGTGCGGTCACATATATAGAAATAGAACAGAATGGCCCCAAACTCAGACCTGCATGAGATTATATGGTTCAATATAAAAAGAAAGAAGGACACCTAAGAAAATGTGTTCTTCTGATAATATGACTGACATTGCTCTCAAAGCTTGTCGATGTTCCAGCAAGAAAGACTCTTCCATAGTCAAAAACCTAGAAAAACATTAAGAGAAAAAAAAAAAATGGAGGAAAAAAAAAATGGTAAGGCTAGCATTAAAGACTGCATCCAAGCGGAACACCATGAAAGAACTGATACACATAGAAAGCAACCTGATTAAGGTCGTTTTGAGAGATGACACATGGAATTTAGCAGATGCTGATCTTGCAAGTCCTCCTTCCAGCAAAACAGCCCGGTCATCTTCTTTAATTGTCTGCTGTGCTAATTCAATCAGATTGTTGTCTGAATGGCTGCAAGTTGAAACTAAGCTGTCAGCAGCAGCAAATATAAGAACATTAATATTTTATGCTGCTAGAAAATGCAAGAATGTAATTCTTTTCCATTCTGAATAATAATTAGAAAACTACAATACAGAAAAGCAAAGAGCCTAATTGTTCTTAAAAAAAAGCTTGTTTCTCAAAACTCAAGCCACTTATTTTGGTCACAGAAAATTGGAGAAGCTCCACATTCTAGCATCTATAGAGTGAAACGTGTCCATCATTGCAGACTGTTTGACCAGAAATTTTATGGTGAATCCTTTAAAATTTATAACAGAAAAGAAAAATAATAATAAAAAAATAAATAAAAGCAAAACTTTCTCTCCATAATTGCCCGAGAAATTCCTTATTCAAGCAGAAGCCAGCCCTTAACACCACAGAACCGTAATAAGCCCAATCATTTTTTCTTCATTGAAGTCAAAGAGAAGAAACTTACACTTTGGAATGAGATGCGGATTTCTTATACTCTAAAAACTCTGAATATATCCATGCAATGAAAATTGGGACAATGCCAAGCAAAAAAGAGACCTGGAGCATAATAATATGGCTTCATTATAGATTTCAGAAGAAATTTCATCAAACAAATAAGAACAAAGCAGAAATTTTAAGCAACAAAGCAACAATACATACAGAAGTACAGAACTGTTTTGATTAAGCTTAAAATCTCAGAGTGAAATATAAACGTATACTCCTGGTCCAAAAATTATTGTCAAGTCCCATTTGCATTATTTAGGCCAATCCGAATATTGTAATTCCTGCATCAGACTATAGCCCAGAAAAATAAGCTAGGTGCATAAGTTACCATAATTGAGTCCTAACTTAAATAGTTAAATCTAACATCAATAAAGATTTATCCAAATTCTGCTCCAAAATTTCAGGAAAAGAAAATTAAAGCAAACTTCAGTAGTGCCATCATTATCCATACCCAAATTCTACAAATCCTTTTCTAAAAATGTTAATGAAATCTATTAAAACTAAAGAAATACCAAATTCCTTGACACATCCAAATTAATTCTTGGACGATTAAACTACTCGCATACCAAATTACGACATACCTATAGCATTAACAAATCTACAGCAAGCATCACATTATACAATCAACTCAACTACAAATCAACTCGAAATCAACGAAATGAATCCACGAGCATCGAATCTACATTACCGGAAAACGAAATTAAACTTGAAACTTTTGATTAAACCGATTAAAACCGTACCTGTCCAGGTGTGATCGGCACAGAAGCCACCATTTTCTGATCCAAAACAACACACTCCAAACTGCGAAACACAAAAACAGAATCTAATCAAATTAAAAAAAAAAAAAAAAAGAACAGTAGAACCACAACGAGACATGGAAATCGCGGATACCAGAGAGAAAGTGAGGAGGAATGCGTAGAACAGGGTGATCCGCTAGGAGATGGTCATAAATACGATGAGAACCCTAACGGCAATGTGAGTTGGAGAGGAGATCTGAAAGTGAAGAAGCAAAGCTATTGCTTCAAGAATAGAGAAACTAGCGGGCGTGACGTCGTTTTCAGTCCCTCGGTTGTTGTCGAAAGGAGTTGCAGCTTGCCGTTGGCTCTGGTTTCTTTGGTTGATATTTTATTTTCAGACCGAGGGAGAAGAAAAGGGATGACAAATTGTTTTATGCATTCATTATACATTTATTAGTAAGTTTTCTTTTTTCTTTTCTTTTTTTAATACAATTATTAGTAGGATGATCTTGAAAGGATAATTATTTTTATATTATTTTTTTATATAATTTTTTTATATAAATAAATAAATATATTTAATATCACGTGTCTCATATAAATTAAAAAAATCAATCATTTAACTGAAATATCAAATTGATTAAAAAATAATATTAAAAAATTATCCTAAAATCATATTCTTGTTAGTAAGCTTAATTAATGATACTTAAGCTATGGCTATTGTCCTGTTAACCACCAAAGCTATCAAAATTTTAATTATATCTTAATTGAATTACGGATTAAATGATTTAATAAAATAATTACAATAGTATTTATTACAGTATTTAGTAAATTAAAATTAATTTATAAATAAATAATTTTAAATATCATAACAAGTTATTTTAAAAAATTACTTATATTTTTGTCTTAAAATAATTATTAATTTTTTAATTTTTTTTAAATTAATGATTTGAAAATAATATTTATTTTTATTTTTAATCCTCTCAAAAAATTTAAAAAATTATAATGAGATAATTAGTTAAAATAAATAAATAATAATTGAATTAATATAAAAAATATTGATTTATTTTATAAGATAAAAATAAATAATTAATTTAAAGTAAAAAATAACACTTTAAAAAGACAGATAAGATAAATTAATGAAATTATAAATAAAATTAGTGTGATTGACCGAATTAGCGGCGGCAATAATTTCATCACCCAAGCAATTTTTCACGGAGAAAAAAAATTTATTTGCATTTCAGCGGAAATTATAAAAAAACGAATTTTTATTTTCTCATTTGACGCCTCGTTTGGTGGTGTAGAGATGAGGTGGATCTTGACCTTTGAATCTTTGATGTCGGTTTGATTTGAAGATTGCAACAGAGACTATGGTAATACAGATTTTTATTTTTATAATCTGATTATTGACTAAGGAATAACTCTTCAATTTTCCAATTTTTCTTTATTGTTTTCAATATACAAACCACAATGCTATAATTTTATTATTACCTAAAATTATAAATTTATAATTATAATATATCATTAAATAAATATAAAGTAATATTAAACGAGTAGATAATATTATTGGTAGATTCTAAATAAAAAGAATTAATTATAAAATAATAAATTATATTATAAACTTATATTATCATGTAATATTATAATTAATAATATTTTAATATATAAACACAAAAACTTTAATATAAAATATCAAAACCTTAACCACTTACACATGTTATAGATTATAATTGTATAGTAAATTTTACTATTGAAACTAATATTTTATGAAAATAATACTTATCAGCCTTACCTCCTAAAGATTAGAAGGAAAATTATTTCAAAACTACGCCGTTTCAATAAATTTTTATTGAAAAAGATTAAATTACCTTATTTTTAAAACATGTATTAAAGTAATTTTTATTTTTTTTCCTCATAATTTTTTGAAAATAAGACGAACAAGCACTAACCCCATATTTTATTCTCTAGAAATATTATCTGAAGTTATATATAGAGAAGTTAAAATGATGGAGTAGTTATTATTCTTTAAGAGAGGAGTTAATGTATTATGTGAGGATGGGGACGGTAAAGTGCAGATTAAGTAACCCATACCTAGCTGACCAAAAAAAAAAAAAAAGTAACCCATACCTAATCATTTGATTCCCTCAAAATCAAATAAATATATGCCCTTTGGTGGTTTTACTTGCCTTATGATGGATATAGTGCTAAAATAATTACTATATGTCTTTTGTTAATTAGAGTTGTTAGTGATGCTGGTATCTATAAGTCTTAATTAAAGATGGAACAAAAGTGATAAATAGGGAGAAGTCTTAAGAATATGTATGAGTTCTTAGAAAGATCCCTCTCTTCTTGGTTTTTTTTTAAGAGACAGTTCTCTTTTTTTTTTTTTAATTCATATATAACGTTTAAACTTAAGATTTTTAATTTTAAATTTTAAATTTTTAACCACTTGAAATACTTCCTCAAAAGTAATCTATCCCATCTTGATACGATGTAAATCATTAATTTGAATGATTTGCTTTATTTATTATTTTGTTTAATGAATTAAAATTGTATGAACTCATATCTAACCATGTTAGGTGTATAACAATTCTATATATTATATACACTTAGTATTTTATCTGTCAAATACAGTACTTCTCTATAGTCTTGCATTCACAATGCCAAGAGACTAAGAAAAGAGGAAATAGAAGACATCAATCAAGCTTAGTGCTGTCAACCTTTTGTGTACGTGGTTAGGCAATCTATAGAACATGAGCAAATATAATTTGTTTGGCAATTACTTGATGCTCCCGGCAGATATCTAGCTAGCTGGCACCTTTTATATCTTAGGCACCTTTTATATCTTATTTTGTTTGAGATTGTTAGGTGTTTTTGACATTGACTACTCCTATTGTTAGTCTCAAACTCTAGCTACTGTAGATATGTTTTTCCAAAAAAATTCAACAATTAATTACCATTATTTTTTATTTATTAAGTTTTTGTAACCTGTGATCCTTAAAGGTGTAATAAATATATTTTTTTATAATTAATTTATATAAAAAATATAGATATTAATATCAATTTAATCAATACTACATGATAATAATACTAAAATAAAGATCAATTTTTGCAAAAGGATATATTTATTGCACATCCTCAACCCTAGTCCTTAACCTTGAGCACAGACTAAGATGACAAATATTGCTTCTGATAGAAATTTTCTGCAGTGGCTGTGAGCAGGGATGGAGCCAGCATGGGACTAGGGGGCAGCCACCCCCTAAACTTTTGATAAATATCAACTATAGTACAAATATTTTTGTTTTTTATAAAATTTTATTTTTGAAGTTTGAATTATAAGGACCATTCAAATATAAAGAAAATATTTATGACTAGTTAGATAAAGGGATCATTTGTGATTAATTTTTAAAGACACAATAATTTTATCTAAGTAAGAACAAATATAAAAAAAATACTCTAGATCTAGTTATATTAAATATAACTTATATAATTTTTTATATTGATTATATATAATTTTTGTTTATATAATTAATATTCTATTAAATCAACAGTTAAATCTATTTTATTCATGTAAATGTGTTCCAAATTTAAAATTAATTTGATATATATGACATTACAAATAATAAGCCATATTTTTATGCTATTTATTTAATAGTTTTAAATTATATGCTATATAAAAACAATTAAATATATCTAATTAATTTAAATTTAGTGTAATAAGTGGTACATGCATAAAAGTAATGAATGATTTAAGAATTGATATTAATTATACTATATAAATTGATAAATAACTCAAAAAAGTTTTAAAATTTTACTCCCTAATATAAATTCTTGACTATCTCTTTGGCTGTGAGATCAAGGTTTGGAAATATTTGTCTAACACTAGGTGGGATATATATAGTGGCCATACCCCTTTGATGTAAGGTGTTAGGACATGAAGTTTTGGATTCTACACCACCTAGACTATTAATTCCCTCCCCCAAAATTCTCTAAGTTCAAAAAAAAAAGAAGGGGGGGGAGGGGGGGCTGGCTGGAAATATTTGAAACCACAACACGAAACAAATCTTTCTATTAAAGGCTTGGAAATATTTGAAACCACAACAGGAAACAAATCTTTCTATTAAAGGCTTGATCGAGACAGCTTAAGATATAGGGAGCATCAATCCAATTAATTAGCCTAATACCATTTTTTATATATCCGCTATATATATGCAGAAATCAAAACGAATATGAGCACTGCTTAGCGACCAAATAAAGGAAATTTGTTAGGCCGGTTGGCAATTGCCCCCGTTACCGCCCATGTCTCTATTGATTAGAAACCTTCCTTTTGGGGACATGGTTCTACTTTGAGCCATGTTTTATAGTTTAAATTGTATTAAACTGTAAAGTAAATATTATTAAATAGGGAAACAACCCTTAATATCAAGTGATTTGCCCCCATCTAATTGTTTTAGTTGAAGTTGTTTGTCCAAATTGCACAACACACTTTCTGATTCTACTTTTCTAGATATTAATCAAACAATTAGTATCATACTATTGTGACAAATAAGACTGTCAAGCTATATTTATCACTAATTTATCACCAATATATATAATCAACTTTCTTGTTTTAAAATTAAGAATCTATGCATACAATCCATCCAGGGTAGGCTGAAAACAAGTACTTGTTTTTAACAAAACATGATTTTATAAAAGCAGAGAGCCATTATTTCAAAATATAATCATGTATTAGATTTTGAGTTTCTATGTGATTCTTACTACCAAGAATCATGGGATCAGCTTGGTGCATACCTTAGAGACACATTTTAGCAAAAGTATAACTTATTAAATTATAAGATATCATAATTTAGTCACATAAGAGTGTATAGAAGACTAATTAATGGATTAATATAATATATTGTCTCTCTAATATCTTCAATAATTGCATGGAGGATCTTACACAAACATTAAATAACTCTCATTGATCACTTCCAGTACATTAAGCCTTCAATATATATATATTGCTCTCAAAAAACTAGGTTTTCTTTAAAAATGAAAGCTATCTTAGCCTCACCCTGCTTGCTAGCTATATATATATATATCCCATTACGCATAAGCTAGCGTAATTCCTTGTATCTCTTAACTTTGATTGAGACCAAAGAACTGATCATCACATCAAGAATATTTCTTGGCCTCTAGAAGAAGTTAGATATAGAAAATCATGTAATTAATCTAATTAATTAGCTAGCTAGCTAGCTAATTAATTATTCAACGTATATTTACAATGAGTAAAAGATTTTGAAGGAGTGAAGATTAATTAAGTCATGGTTCATGTTTAAAGAACATGGAGGGAACTATGTCTTGCAATAGTCCATAGTCAGGAGGAACCTGATCATGATGTTGTTGGTACTGCTGCTGCTGCTGCTGATACTGATTAAAAGGATTAACATTTTGTGCATAGATGGATCCTGCTGCACCGCTGCCTTGACTAAAATTCATGCGGCCTTGATTAATCTGCATCAAGAGTTCATGTGGGAAGCTTGGCGTTGCGCCCATCATTGGCATCGGTGTTAGCATGGACGGAGGGAAAAAGCCGACCGCTGAACTACCTCTTAGCGTGGTCGGCAGCGGATGGTTGTGTTGGCCTTCGTATGTCGTGATCACGACTGACGGATCCTGGTATGACCTCTCCACCCGTTTCTTCACCGTGCACTTCTGTGTGGTGCACCTGTAGTAGCTCCTACAACATTGCCAAACACATAAAACATGTGAAACAAGTAGTTTAGTCAATTTTGTATTCACTAATTTTAAAGTCGAGATCGGTAATCAATCCTCTATATTCTTATCTGCAAATTAAACAATCGTGAGAAATTAAAAAAGGAGTTGAAAACCCTTCAACATTAATTAGTATATGAGATCATTTTCCTTAATTTTCCTGCTTTTACACTTTTTTGCCAAGCAAGAAAATTAGTAATGGGAAAAAAGAACAAAATCTAGAAACCGCTTTAAATTCCATCTCTGACTTCCAGGTAGTCAAAATGAGAGGCGATAAATGTATTTAATGTAAGGCACAGATGCAGCTAAGTGTTTGAACAGGAAATGTTTTGTCTATAGTTTCTAGACTTTTGTTTGGATGCTAAGAAATGGAAGGTAAAAACCAAAATAACCTTGGATAAGGGCTATTCTTCACAGCCTTCTGTCCATATTTTCTCCACCTATACCCGTCTTCTAGATGATCGACTTCACTCTTCGTCATGAACGCGACTCGTGGTTCTCTTTGCTTCTTATCTGCTTTCTTCTTCCCTTTATTCCTGCAAAGATAAATATAACATTAAACCGAAATTAGTCATTCAAACCTCTGTAATACTTAAATAATCATAATGTTTTTTTGCTTAAGAAAGTTATTACAGCGAACCTGAACCTGTTAATCACAAGAAATCAGACAAAAATTACTTACACTTTCTTAGAGCTTTCTCCTCCTCCATCTACTGACTCTTTTGGTGACTGCTCTTCTTTCTTGGTTTTGTCAGAATCTTCTTCAACACCGGCCTCGCTGGAAGAGCAAGAAATCGAGGAATTCGGGGTGGTGGTTGTCATAATCTCGCTGCTGGCACCACCTAAATCACCGGCGACACTAACCTGCTTCTGATTGCCTTCAATGGAAGAAAAGACTTCCGAGGATGAAGGCGATAACCCGAAGGCCTTCTCGAGAGAAGTGTAGTCCATGGATGTAGTAGTGTGTAAACAATCAGTCAAGCTCATGTAAGAAGAAACCGCAGAAGCAGCCCTAGGGTTATAATACGTGCTTGTTTTCCCATCGGTATTGAATGCAGGGTTGTAGTAAAAATGATCTCTAGGTTTATCAGACATGGGGGAAGAAGAAGAAGAGAGAAGAAGGAAGGAGGAAAAGTGTTGATGATTTTGTGGGTTTCTCTAGAAGGTGTGTTTTGGTTTTAGACTTTTGGGTTGAGTTTCGTATGTAATTTATGTTAATGTTTGAGTTTTATTTATATGTGTGTGTGAGCAGAGAGTGAGGCGCCTGAGTGGGACTTTTTGGTACTGCAATGTTCACCACTTTCTCATAAAGAGGGTTGTGATGACAAAACAACTTCCAATTAAAAGAGCAAAAAGTGGCTTCAAGTATGGAAACATCTCCTATATATCCATTCTTTTACCAATTCCTGGCTACTCGTACTGACCCACCTTCAAGTGTTCCTTTTCTACTTAATTAATTTTCTTTACATTTTATTACATCATGTCAAATAAAATTAAGAAGAGGTTCTACAAAAAAAAAAAAAAATCTTTAAAAAATGAAATTTTAATTAAACTAGCAATTTGGATTTGAAAAAACCATTTTGTCATTCATGAAGCTCCTTTTTTTCTTTTTTGGTCGGCATGAGGGCTACCTTTCTTTTTTAGTTTCCCTTTCATGAAGTTATTCATCTGTTAATTTCTTTTGCACAATGTATAAAAAGTAATTATTTCTCTTATAACTTGTATTCATCTCAGTGTCGATAAAACTTAAATTTAAAAATATTCATTTTTAAAAAAATATTAATAACTCTTTGAAAGAATTTTTATATATACTTGCTTCTATCAAATTTAGTTATTTCATTTTAATTTTTACTTAGAGTTAGATTTGATAATTTTATATAATAAATAAGTAAATGACAATTAATTTTTATTATCAAAGTGAAAATATTCAATAATAATGTATAAAAAGAAAAAAAAATTTCAATTGCTATTTATTTACTATATAAAAATCATCTAGTTGAACTTTATATAAAAATTATTTGATCAAACTTTATATAAAACTTAAATTTGAATAACAAAATTCAAACCAAAAGAAGTATATATTTATTATATACTCATTTTGTTTATTTTTAATAGTTTTAATTTGATTCTTTAATTTTTTTTAAATATAAATTTTAGATAAAAATGCAACATATTATGTAAATAATTTTTGAAAATTTTTTGATTAAATATAAATATTTAACAAAAACTTCATATAGTAAAAAAATAATTATTCACATAAATTATTAAATTTTTATTTAAAATTTATATTTAAAAAATTAAAAAGTTAAAATAAAACTATTAAAAAATAAAAAGAAGGAGTATATATACAAGAGAAATATATACGGATTTATGTTTACTTTCTTTTGGGAAGAATTGAAAATCATGATTATTATTAAATTGATATTAGAAGTTAAAAAGTAAAAAAATTTGAACGTGGGTGTAACGCGCTAAGATGGGGCGTAGGGGAGGTGGAGAAGTCAGCGAAGACTACAAGGTAAAGGATTAAAGACAGTGAGGCGGATGGCTTTATGGGAGATGATGACGAGGAAAAGATGGTCAAACATTCAAACTTAAAACTGTTGCGGATTTTGGAATATCAGGCTTACACGTGGCTTGGACTGGCACCGGCTTTTGACCGTAGCCGACACCTCCTTGGGCACGTGGGGGGACCTCTGCCTTGCTGGCTGCTGATGCTTACTACACGTCACCCTCCCCTCTACAATTCCCTATGCCCTTTTTGCCCCTCCGCAGTTTTTGCAGCCTCCGTTTCAATTGTTTAGAGAACTAATACTTATCTATTTTCACAATTTTATAATATGATATAAGTGAACCTATATTAATTAAGATTAGTATTTATGTGTCTTGTCTTTTTAAAATTTAGGAGAAATTTTTTTAAAAAAATTATATTATTTTAATGAAATATTATTAGAGAAAATTAAAAATAATTTAATTTATATTTTAAAAGTAAAATATTTTAATATTTTTTTAATAAAAATTTATTTAATTTTGTAATAATTTCTCTTTTAATTTGTAAGAGGTAAAAGTAGATGGGCATTACTCTCATATTTTATGTGATTCTTAAATAAAAAATTAAAAAATATAGTAATTATTACATCATGTTGTAATGATTTGTAATTGACTAACGTTGTGATCAAATCAATATTGTAATATTATTTCACATTTTTCCCTTTTAATGTTTTTTTTTAGCTATGTGTTTGGTGATTTTCTTCTCCTTTTTAATAAATAATAATGGATGATATTCTCATTTCCCCATTTTTTATTCACCTTTTAGAAAAAAAAAAAAAAAAAAAAACCCTTTATTCAATCATCTTAGAGTTCAAATCCTCATAAAGTCTTTAACATCTATTAAACCATTAATATTCTCATTTCTCGAATCTATATTTACTCGTCTTAAAGTTCAAACGTTTATAAATTCTGCACCACCAAGTTGTAGAAAATGATTAGCTGAGCTTCCTTAAGTGTGGCGGTCCCTGGGACTCTCCGGTTGGAGCCTTATTATTGTGTCGTTCCTTTATCACTTATCCCCCTAATTATTGCCAACCACCAAAAAAAAAAAAAAACCTAATAAAATCTTAGACTTGTTGGAACATTGCTAATAGGTATGAACATGGTTTGTACGGGTTGCCCGCCTTTGTTGCCTTTTGCACATTTACATTAAATGTCCATTCAAATCCTTAGTAGTTCACCGGTATCGATCATACCATTTTTTTTGGTAATAACAACAGCTACCTGATGGCAGATGGTTCTTCCGCCACCTGATTATGATGCCCACCGTCCCAAAACAACCCAATATACGGTACTTATTATTTACTTTTCAACAAAAGTATTGTATAATGGAATTATATTAGACTATTTAATATAAATTATTAAGTAAAGGTGAGTTTATGAAGTTAAAAATTATTTTTTATTTTATGATTTAAATTGTGAAATAAATTTTTTTTTTTATTTTTTACTATACAACTCAATATATTTATTTATAACATTTTGCCAATGGAAGCGAGGATTCAATTGGAGCAAAGCTCTTAAAGATAAATAAGTGAAGTGCAATTTATCCTGCACTAATTGCACTACACTTGATGCCCTCTTTCATTAATGATTCAACATGATAGAGTGCGTGTAAGATGAACCATATTGTAGCATTATATTTGTGTATATATATATATAGAGAGAGAGAGAGAGAGAGTGAGAGGGAGAGAATGTTTTTGTTAGGGTTCAAACTTTTATCAATTTTTTGTTCCATGACAGGCTGTGTCTTTTTGGAGTTTCCTGCTTGTTCCCCTGTATATATTAAGATACTTTAGGAGTAACTTTGTTTTTGATGGATCAAAACTACAGTGAGTATATGAAACGTGAGTAGAGGGAAAAGAAGAATTTGAGATAATTGTTTATTATTATGTAATTTTTTTAGCAGAAGAAATAGTCTAACCTAATTTTTACCCCACATAAACTTTAATTAACCAAAGTAAAACCCATGTACCAAAAAAACCCAAGCAAAACCTATATCAGTCAAACAAAGGATAAAATTTCCTAGTCATCAAATTGCGAATTGAAAACTACAACCAAAAGGACGAAAGAAAGTTAAAATGACAACTTTTTGACATGATAAAAAACCAAACTCGGTTGTTTGAATTGGTCAAATATCATAAAATATCATAAAGTTTTGAAGGGAAAAAAACGGTATTTGATTTTTTTAAAGGATATATTTTATATCAAGGCCTGTTTAGTTGGAAGAAAATTTTTTATTTAGAAGATTATTTATGTATTTTTATACATTAATATTATAAAATAAGAGTAAATGTGATGTTTTTAACTTTTATTTTCTTTGAAACAATTTATAAATTGTAAACTTTTCTTCCATACTTTTTAAAGATAAAAAATTTCCTCTTTGCTTTTTAAATGTAAGATCTACTTATTATTTTTTTTATATCAATTTCTTACTAAATACAAAAAAAAAATAATAACCCAACAAAATTCTAATAAATCTTCTCTAAATTTATTAACTTTCCACAGGATATATATTCACTCTCTATACAATAATTTCCTAATTACTTTTTTAATAAAATTCACACTTTAACTAAACAAGTTTTAAAAAATAATTTTTTAATCGACCTAAAAATAAAAGAGCAAGAATGCTTTTGAAAATAATTAATACCACAAACGAATCCAAGAGGATTTATTAATGATATTAATTATTTCCTAAGCATTCTTTTGCTTTTTTCTTATAGATCTACTTAAAAATTGACAACCCCTACTACTGCAAATAATTTGTTTGGGATGGATGTACGAAGCATGCCGTAATTTGTGGCTAATTTTATTGTAGAACATGAACCTGAGTATGACCTTGTCATATTAGTCATATCCCACATGTAAAAGAAAAAAAAATTTTAATTATTCTATCTTATTACTCTCTCTATATTATTTATGGTTTTTTTTTTTATTTTAGTTACACAATAAGAGATAATAATCTCTTATCTCTTATCCTACCTTACTCGCATGCCATGCAACTCGAATTCAAGATTTTTTACTTCCAACGAAAAGAGATAATTACTAAAATACTTAAATTGTTAGCATTATTTATGCCTTTAATTGTTCCTATCACAAAGAATCTCGGCTCTTTTTTTCCACCCTTAAAATATTGGATTATATTTATAGATAGCAATGGCTGCATAATATTGTGTCTAATGGTCTGACATCTATCTACCTTATTACGATGTTAGTTGTTAAGTAACAAAATTAGGAACTCATTTTGTTGATTTATTAGAAAATTTAGCTAATTAATGAATTGAGGGAAGCCACCTGCGCTTGACATGACATCAACCAAATTTCTGGTTTTTTCTAATTAAATTAATCTTTCTTTACTTCGTATGGTAGAGGCAGATTACACCATAATTAATCTTTTCTTCATCTCATTGCCAAAATAAAAATAAGAATAAAAATAATAAGAAAAGAGGGAGAACGATGAACTATCTCATAAATCATAATCCATCTATAGTTTGTCTATTATTAATATCTCTGTTTGGCCAATTGCATCTCATGATTTTAAACACATTAATAGAAATTATTAGATATTATCTTATATATTTAATATTTTTTTCATGCTTTATCAATATAAAATTTATTTTAAAGTATCACATAAAATTTAATAATTTTAAAGTTGGAGTTTAT